GTGGTTCCCAACCTTTTTTTCACCCTGCACCCCTAAAGAAATTTCATTCGAACCTCACACCCCCTGAAATTTAGACTTTAGAAACTATTGAACGCGTTAAATATATGGTAGGATTGAATCTTTTCAGCTATGTATGTGACGGCCACTAAATAACGATACTTAACTCTAAAATGAAAACAAAGTTAATCCATTGCATAATAAATAAAAATGCCAACATATAGTCAATATCCTATTATTTACCTGGACTTTTCTCGCACCCCCTGGAATATCGTCTCGCACCCCCAAGGGGTGCGAGCACCCCAGGTTGGGAACCCCTGGTCTATAATGTATAAAGGTAGTTTTTATTTTGGAATTGTGAACAACATGAAGGGATATTTTATCATGTTTGGTGGATGTGTAAAAAAGCTAGAAAGTTTTGGATATAAATACAGAAACTAATTCAGAGGATCTTAAAGACACAGTTGCAACCAGAGGCTTTTCTCCTGGTGTTGGTGGATAAACAGCAGGGAAAAACAACATGGAATTTTATTTTTATATATGAGAATACTTGTGAGGTGATTATATACTCCAAAGTAGAAAATGTTACTCATAATGGAGCAATGGTTGGTGAAGATGATGGAACTTGCAGAGGTGACTAATCTGACTTTCTTGATTAGAGAAAATATTTACATTTATTGCTGACTGGAAACCCCTTAAAAATGTTTTGCGTGAAACACAAATAAATGAATCCACAATTCATTATTTTGATTATTAGAAAAACTAGATAATAGATAAAGAGAGATTTTATTTAATGTAACCATAGAGCAGGAGGTTATTTTGTATTTGTACTTGTAATTGCTATAAAGTAAGCTCTTTTAGATCTGTTCATTCTTTCTTTTTATACTATTAGCTTTTTGATTTCCCTTTTCTCTTTCTTTTCTTGACCTTATATTAGTTCTTGTTAGTTTTTAATCTCCCTTTTAAAATTCTTGATAAAAATTATAGGAATAAAAGAACATCTGAGAAGCTGTAGATGTCAATATGTCATGGTTGATAGTTGCAAGCTTCAATAACTAAGCTCACCATGAATTATGTATCTACATCTTTTCATTCTCTTTTGAAGATGGGGGCAACAAATCCCAGTCTTATGGATAAGAAGACAAACCCTGAATAAATGAACCTAAATATGAGTTCATACTGATGCCTGCAGTGATCAAATGTGTCAAAAGATATATTCCATGTTTGAATGAGTTGTTGCAGATTAAATATCACAGATGTCAGCATTTCTTTTGAGACCTTTCCCAGTTTCTTCAAAGAGTATGTGCATATGTTGCTCACTTAGTTAGGATACCAGTTGTAGGAGATGACCAGGCTGAACCCAAGGGAGGTGTCAAATGCATCATCAGTTTGGAGTCTCTAGGCCCCTATAAGAGGCCCATGTTGAACCTCCTCCTTGAAGTCTGTTGACTCTTTTCTGCTGCCAATTTGCCTTAACCATTAGTAATTCAGATTCTTGTGTATAAATAGCATGAAATGAATGTGTAGTGCTTTTGAACTCTATCCTGATTCCTGACTTCTTGTACCTGTATTCATAGTGGGTACAACTTGAAATAGTGGGGTCCTTGGTGCTCTCTGAGCTTCATTATTTTCTTGCAGTCATTTCATTACCAAACTAAGTAACATCATCAGTGCTAGAAGGGAGGGGGTTTGCTCTCATTTTTATTTATTAGTGGCTTTCCCTGTCAATGTTGGTAGGAACAGTCTTTTTTTTTTTAATAAAGTTTTATTTGGGTTTTCACACACAAAATACAAGTAAAACATCTTTTTTGAAAATAGCATGGTCCCGGGTTGATCTTCTTTATACAGACACAAAACTCAATTTCATGCTCCTTTTTGTATTCTATTCCATATCTTATACTATTTTACATTTTCTATATAGTTTTTCCCCTCTTTTAATTTTCTCAATTTTATTTTGATTATCTCATCTCAATTCAAATCATTATATTTATACTTTTGTCTGCTCTGTTTCAATTTCATATTATCTTTTCTCATTAAACAAATTTTCTCCTGTAGTTACTAATTGGAGTATGACACCTTTATATCTTTTAATTACATCCATTCAACTCTTATTTAAACTTCAATTATATACCTTAAGTTTATGACCTTCAATATAATACATAATACATAACTTCCAATTGAATTCTGCTTGGCACATTCTTATAATACACACTATATTCTTTAAAAAAAAAAAAAAGAAAGATTATAAATATATGTAATTATAAACCCTCATTCCATTCCAGTTCAATTCTATCATTAATAATCATTAAAACCATAACAACTTTAACACTTCTTTTCAATTAAATATCATACTTCCTTAAAAACACATATAATCTCCATAATTAATTTTTCCCTTATTTCTCTTCACATATGTTTTATAAATCATTAAATATACCTTTTGTTACATTTATTTATTGACAAGCATTCCACTGAATTACGATAGCTATTTTATCAGACATTTTAATCATACATTGTTTCATATTTTCTAAAATTATTTCTGCTTCTAATATAACCATACTATCTTATGTACCTTTGCAGAATCCCTTTTTCCATTAAGTTTTCACCCATTATCTCTAAATAGGCCCTGTTTCTCTATATTTTGCTTCTGTCCTTTATAACTTCTTTTCCTTTCTTTCTTCCCTCTCATCTTCTCCCTCCCCTTTTTACCCCCTTGTCTCTCTAGTTCTAATTCTCTCTTCTGCATTTCCCTCTTCTGTTGCTTTCTGATTTTATACTTATTTTTCACTCTATTTTTTTTGGGGGGGGGGAGTTGTTTTTCTGAATCTTAAACTTTCCATTCTCTTTCCCTCCTTTCCTTTTTTCCCCCCATCTAAGATTACTTGTTCATTAAAGATGGCTTCTACTTTTTCGCAATCTTCTTGTTCTGCAGGCATTTCTTGTTGTTTCTCATAATTCCAAATCTCCATTTCTAAAAACTGAAATATGAAGCCAAAAGAACTTCTCCCTTCTTGTGCATCTTCTTTGTACTTTTTAAGTTCCATTTTCAGTTCTTCTAAAAGTGGAGCCATTTTAAACAGTTTTAAACAACCACCCGATTGATTTTAGTCATTCAAAACAATAACCAAGAATCCAGAAATCATCAAGTAATCCAGATAGTCCCGAGTTATATCTTCTTATTTCTTTTTCGACTTTCTCTTCCTGGGGTTTTTGTTGAGATATTTCAGTTAGAATGTATCTTTTGGAAGTCTTGTTGAGATTTTGCTGTAAGTTCTTTTTTAATTCCAGGCAGTCTCCTCCCTTCCAGATCCTACCCTTTTATTCTTTTTCTCTCTTTTCCTGTTTTCAAAAGCTTTTAATTATCCAGAAATCTTTATTATCCCTTTGACTTTTTATTTTCAGCATTAAATGCCTATTGATGTCAAAGTGGATTTTTTTTCCAATTTCTTGCTTAAGTCTCTTAGCTGTCAGTATAGGAAAAGAAGAAAACCAAATCTTTTCCCTTTTCTCTCTCCTTCGCAGCTTAAAAATCCTCTTAGGGAACAATGTTACTGTTTTTTAACAGTTTCAATTCCAGGGTACTTTATTTGTTGCTTTTGCTGTTTGACCCGGTCAACCAAAGCTTTCTCTTCTTATCTTCCTCCTGCACATTCTTTTCTGGTCAAGTTCTTCTTTGTGGTGGCCATTTCTGACCACTGCTGCAACCGCCTTCGGGAAAGGGAGTAATGGCCAGCTGGGGAGGAGAGATGCGGCTCTCTTCAACCCTGCTGGCAGTCTCCCCCCTCTTCATCACCTCTACGGGGTGGCTTAGCCCCAAAACCAGCTGGCTCGGGGCACTCCAGTGGCGAGCACGGATCGAAGCCTCGCAGAGATGAGGTTTTGGTCTGTCGCTGAAGAAGCTCAAACCGGAAGTCGGTAGGAACAGTCTTGATGGTTCCTTAATTAGGCTGTTGTTTACTGCTAGCTTGTTTCTCTGCATTGGTTTGGGGATATTGTTTAGTCCTTGATGGTTGGTCTAGTATTAATCTTGGTTTTAATCCCTGTTCGTCTGAGTCCTGATTGCAGAACTCAAAATTACTACAACTAGGATCAGCAGTTCTGAATTCCTTATAAGACTGAGGGAGGTGTTGTTGTTCTTTGATTCCAAGAATGGGATTTGAGTTTTTTGCAGAGACTGATAAGACACCACAAATTTGTTTTACTTCCTTTCACAGACACATAGTAAGAATTCTCACTCAGCCTTCCCCCTTCCCTTTTTTTTTTAAAAAAAATGGTGAAACTGATGAAGAATGCAAGTGGGTGGATCTACTAGAAGGACACTGTTAGTCAGAATGAGGATGGATTTAAACATCAGTCTAAAATATGTACAGAACTTCTTTGGTTTGGGCTTTGAGCAATTAAATTCATTATTGCACATCAGTGATATCTGTGAATGTAGCCATTATGACTTACTCAAAAACTATGGTGGAAAAATAGTGTACTCAAAATATGAAAGGCAAATTGTTACTCCAGGTCTAGATTGAGATGAATGCCTCTTTGGCTGCAGGATTTATTCATGGAGCTGAATGTATGTTTCCAAATAACAGCTATCAAGAACCTGATTCCTGAGCCCAGTCTTCTTTTCTTGTTTGAACTGACTAATTTGAATGGCAAAAGCTGTCATGAAGCTGTTGGTTCAGATGTATGTTATACATCTACTATCATCAATCCATGTGATCACAGAGTCATAAACTGGATGTGATATTTAATCCACTGAATTCACATTCTTGTCCAGTATAGGACCCAAAATAAAGCATCCCTTTACTGGTGGCTATCTAGTCTCTGTTTGGAACCATTCAATTGTTTTTTTCTAGGAAACTGATTCCACTGTCAAACTTACACTATGTTTAAGTGTGTGCGGTGTATGATCTTCCTTTAATAGAGCCTTTGGCTCAAGTCTTCCTGCACATTTGTAGTTTAAAGCAATGAAGTTAAAATGGGATGGGCTAAAATACAAAGGTAAGTTCTTCCATCAGCATCCCCCAAGCATGTAGTTTATAAAAAGACCATATATTGAACATATGGAGTAGTTATTATGATGTTGGGCTGAGGTTTAAGGTTAGACTTTGTTATGATATGTACAGAATAACACTTTAGTAACAAGGATATGCACATGGAAACGTTTATGAGAGTAGTTATGAATAATTATACAGCCACACACAGATACACTAAATTGAGTTAAAGTTTAAGAATAGCACAGTCCAGGTCATATACATTTAACAGTCCAAATAATATCCATTTACAAAGTCTTCTTACCAGTTGCCTTTGTCATTTATAGTAAACAAAGATATCAAAGTATAATCACAGCTTAGATAGCAACAGAATGTCAGAGATACAGAATGTCAGAGAGAGACCATGTCAGAGAGAGCAAGCCATGATCTCTAGCTCCCTCTTATGGCAATTCACAATACAATCAACCAAGCAGAATCAATACAGTGATTTTGTCTTAAAGCTACAAACATACATTGTTGGTTTATATATTGCCAACCCAACTAATTGTTGGACAGCTTCCTAACAAACTTAAAATTCAAGTCCACTGTCAGTTCAGAAAAATCACTGGGTAGTTTTAAGCCAGTGATTACAGCCCCAGGGTATTTATGAAAAAACATTCAAGGACAGAGTTTGATTTTCTGGAAGAAAATTGGGACAAAAATCCGACCTCTTTTTAGCTGACATATTGTTATATCAGAGTTTCTGGTGATACAGAATCAGGCTTAGTTATGAGTAAAAATCCTTTGTAGATTTTCTCGCTAGACTTGGGAAGAAGTTACCACATTTTTTGCAGGACCTTGGAAAACCAATTGCACAGATAAGCTGAGAACTGAGATATAGCCACTATTATACCATTCTTGTGAGATGAAATTACATTTTTCTTTACTTTTTTAGGAAACAAATAGGTGATGGTCTCTTTAATTCTCTTATCATCTCCCCTTAGCCATTTAAAGGAGTCTTAATGGACAAGGCATCCGGGAAGTGACTTCCTATCATTTCCAATCTGGAATTATCTTCTTTGATGCTCTTGGCATCTGAGGCTGAAACAGCCTTCTATTTTGTCTCACTCCTTGTCCTTTGTTCCTGCCAAGATATTGCCATGGCTGATAGCATGGAAATGTCTGTCTGCAAGTCTTTGACAAGCATTCAGAAACTACCATATATAATGATTCTTTGTTGTCATATTTTCCCCTCTTCCTTTCCCCTTTTCACACTTTCAAACACCCACAAGAGACAAATGGCTTAATGATCAGCTTATAAAGTAATGTTTTGGAACTGAATCAGCAGGAAAATGAATGTGATAAGGATGCAGTGAAATGAATCTCCCCATCAATAGCATAAAGAGCATAATTTCCTGGCTATTTGTCACGGTGACAAGGGCAGAATCAGACTGCAGGCTCTTGAACTCCCAGCTTAATGGAATGGAACACAAGTGGGACCCTGAAGAGCGATACCAACCCAAGGCTGCTTCCCCCACTCAGGCCCACACTTCACAGGTAGGCAGCAGTTTCTTGCCTTAATCCGGCTTCCTGAAGCAGATTGTGGCAGCCTGTTGTGTGTTAGGACTGAGCAGAGTGAGGACTAAATAAAAGCATTCCCTTAAATTGAGTGAAAATGACAGCCAAATGCAACCTCAAGGCAGGTATGGATCTCCACAGAGTGTTTGCTTGGCTTATGCCCAATAATTTCCAGGACATGCAAATGTATGTATTAGGCATTATTACTCAAAAAAAGTGCAAACTGCTAGACCATATGTTCAGGAGAAAATATACGCTAATGGGACTGTAGTCAATGTCATGAAAGTAAATATCTAATTACACACAATGAGATTTCTCCATCTTGGCATTCCCCCCTGTGCTGCTCATCTATCCCTCCATTTGTCCCCAGAACATTTTTGAGGGCGCACATGGAGTAGAATAGATTATCAGATGCCTTTTTCTTTTCTACTGGCAAAGCCATCATGTAATAAGTTTAGTATGGAGACCAATCCATCATGCATCTCAAATTGTCTCCCAGCTACAAAACATAATCCTAATGTCACTGAGATGTCCTGTGTTAACACCAGGGGAAATTAATTCAAGTAGGCTTGTGGTCTGTCAGAGTTGAGTTTTTTCTGGCCAGATGGGAATAAATTAGTTTTGGCATATTATTTCCTGCAGTGAGTTGGAGATAGTCCTCAGATTTTCTGATGATGAATCTGAAGCTCTTAAGGAGCATAGATACAATGTGGTTTTTCTACTCTAAAGTATATTCCATTGCTAGGACTGTTCCTAGTAAAATGAACTAATCACTTCATCATCACATTACCTAAAACACACTAGGAAGCACTTCAATATCACTTTTTTCTTAATGCAACTATGCTTTGATACTTCTCTCTTCATCTGACAAAAGGATTTGAAGCTTGAAAGTAACAGACATGAAGTTCATACACTATGTGTGCAACTATATTTAACTTTTGAGCATATGGTGGTGCAACGGTTAGAATGCGGTGCTGCACCAGGCTACTTTTGCTGACTGCCAGCTGTCTGCAGTTTGGCAGTTTGATTCTCTCTGGCTCAAGGTTGGCTCATCCTTCCGAGATCAGTAAAACAAGGGCCTGGATTGTTGGGGGGAATATGCTAACTCTGTAAACCACTTAGAGAAGGCTGTAAAGCACTGTGAGGAGGTATATAAGTCTAAGTGCTATTGCTATTGCTATTGCTATTGCTATATGAAGATACAGTGTTTGCTCCCTGCCAAAAACTAAAGCAAATTTTCCCTTTTTCGTAAAACCTTCCTCTTCCTATACTGGGGCATCAAACTGGCAGCCCGCAGGCAGATGCCACATGCAGGCAATGCCTACCCAAGCTCTGCAAAGGGGAAAAACATCACAAAACTTCACATGATGTCAATGTGACACAGCAAATTTGTCACCCATGTCCTATACCATTGTCAGGTGGTTCTTCTTGGAAATGGTACCAGTTACCAATAAAGAAACTGTGATCTTCCAGGGACATTTTCCAGGGACATTTTTAAAAAAGTTTCAACAAGCTTACTTAATTCTCATCCTCTATCCTAACATTTATCATCAATAACATCTATATTGTATTGTATTTATACTAATGTTTATCATATTAAATAACTGCCAACATCCCTCACAGATGGATTCTGGGTTATGTACAATAAAACCTTAAAATCATAAAAATATAGAAAAGTTAAAATCAACCTCATGGGTGCTTGCTCCTCTGCACACCCCAAACAAGATGACAGAGCCATGTTTTTACACCTTTTCAGAAGGCCAGGAGAGTGGGGACCTACTTCATCTTTTGGGGGAGAATGTTTCATAGAATAGAAACAACTGCAGAGAAGGCTCTCTTCCTGGATCCTTGAAAGTTTCAGTTGGAATTCCTTAATTGATACAGTCCACAACATACCTTCCCTGCCTGACCAAATAGGATAGGTTGATGTAACATGATGAAGATGGTTCCATTTACATCTATTATCTCTATGTCATACATTGGTCTAATCCCTAAACAGCCTTATGAGCAATTTTGTTCTCCTTTGTTGTCTGACTTATAATGAAGCCACCATTTAGCAACTTCAGGATAGTTGGCTTCTTGCTGTCAGATTTGTTCCAAACTGGTGCTGAAGCATTGGCATTGCATGCCTCTGTATTTGGAGGGAGGGAGGGAGGTGCTTTACCAGCTGCTGAGGTAGTGAAGCTACTGGGCTCTCCTTCTTTTTTTATCTTGCCTGGGGTTGGGTTTGCTGAACTCAAGCTGCTCCACTTTCATCATTAGTTACCTGCCATACCGACAGCTACAAATTCCTCATCTGGCACAAATCTTCCTCCAACACACACCCACAATCAAATTTGCAATAGTGGCGAATATCTGTAGCTCAGGTGTAGGATGAGGGTGAAAATCCACTCTCAGGGTTTGTGGGATGGTCTCTGAATGTTTCACTACCAGGCTAGGTAACATCTTCAGCGGAATTTAAGGAGTGTCAGTGTTCTTCTGTTTACGAGGGCTCCAGATGTCGGTGTGTCAAGTGAGGTTCTTGTGATGGGTCAGATGGGTCATGTGATGGGTCTTGTGATACATCAGGGCAGGGCCTTTGGGAGGTGAACTGCTGGTGGGGGGATTGCATGGGATGGTTGAGGGTTAGTGCTGACTCTGGTTGGCTGTGCAGTTGATTTGGATTCTGAAGGGTTCGTAGGCTACATGTAGGTCAATGTGTCTATTGATAAAATTGCTTGTGGAATGCCAGAATTTGATGAACTCATTACCATGGTGGATGGTAGTGTGGCTGATGATTTTTGTGCTGCTCCAATCAAACTCGTGCTGATTGGTGTCAGTGTGGGAACAGATCAAGGATTTGGGCTGGCAGCAGAAGTGGTATTCAGCAGATTCTGACCAATTCTGGAGAACCGGTAGTTGAAATTTTGAGTAGTTCAGAGAACCTCTGACTGGCCCCGCCCCCATCTATTCTCTGCCTCCCAAGTCCCAGCTGATCATCTGGGTCTTCTTTTGTTGCCCTACACAGGAGAACAGAGCTGGAAGTAGGTAGTAGGGTGGGGAGGGTGGGAATGGAATTTTGCAGTAACCTTTCCCCAGGAGTGGGAATGGAGATTTCACAGTATCCTTCCCCTGCCATGCCCACCAAGCCATGCCCACCAAGCCATGCCCACAGAAATGGTAGTAAAAAATTTTTAATCCCACCACTGGATTGTAGCAATTGACTGTCAGCTGATGTTTGTGGATCCTGGTTTTTAATTGATGTGATGTTCATCAATCAAGTGCTACAGCATTTTTCTTTTTTTCACTGGAAACCAAGTGCAGTTCAGTGCTTTTCAGATTGCTTTAAAGTCCCAGAGGAAAAACCAAAGAGGAGGAAGAGCTCATGGTTACCATAAAGTTTAATTTCTACTGTCTTTCACTTGAAAACCAGTACTGTAGTTTTTCATAATATTTTATCTGCATTGTAAGAAAAGACTTCACCTCTCTGGAGAGTTGTTAAATCTATACAAACAGGAATGTGGCAACTATATTTTTAAATGAAAAATCTAGATGCTCTATATCTGTGTGTTGCCTGAGCCAAAGCGAACTCTTGATCTTTAAAAAGCTGAAAGAAAAGGATGATGGGTGCAATGGTATTGTCTGTGCAGGTAACTAATATGCTGCAGAATGCCCACATAAACACAGTTCTGAAATGACTCACAATCAACATCATCTCATTCAGCAATTATAAACATACACTCAATCAATTGGCTATTGTATTTTTGCAAGAAAAAAATACCAGTTTTAGTGGCAAGTTCTGAATGAAAATAAGGTTTAGTTAATTAACACCTAAGTTGTTTTACTGTCATCTACTACATAACAGTTTTTTTTTAAAAAAATTAAATCTATTTAAAAATCACTTGAGCAATTGTCAGTTCTTTCCCTTTCAAAATAGATTCCTCAGCTATAGGAAACAAGCTGTCTAGGTAAATTTGGAACTATCATACACTGAAATCTGCTTATTTGGACAAGAGGAGACACAGACAATCTAGCCCAGATGAATGTTGCAGACTGATTCATCTTTTTTTGTCCTCTTCAGATTGGAACTTCTACAATCTTTTGATTTTCTTCCTTTTAAAGTTATTCCTTTTTTTAGCCTCAAGTATATTTTGTACCCACATAGATCTTTTTTACTTGTGACTGATTTTTTTGAGTGTCTTAAGACATTCTTTTTGTTAGCATATAGGAGTCACTGTAGTTCTAGAAACAGAGGTGAGGTTAGGAACTTGCTAACCCAGTAGGGCTTCCCACCTGTACAGAAGTAGTTATTATTTTTCCAGGGCTATCTACTATCTTTTGTTTCTGATCAGGGCTTTGCTTCAAAGCACTTGAGTAAAGAGTGCTTGTAAATTACCCAAAGTGCATATGTACCTTGCTCTGAAGATAGCCATAAGAGAAGACACATAGCATCAATAATACGATGTAAGATTACTAGAACCGACCCAATTATTACCCAAGATGAGACAGAAACAGCATAGAAAGTAAAACAAAACTCACGAAGATGAAAGCAGTAGTATCCATTAAAAACTTTGTAGAACAAAATCTTAACTTTTCACTTAAAGGATTATATGAAAACATAACATGTTATAGGGTTCTCATCCTAATAATGGAACAACTTTATCTAGAAAAAAACACAGGTTCTTCCTTAGCAAACTCATTCTTCTTGCATTATTCTTTCCTGAGGTTTTATAATATCACTTAGTTTACTAATAAAAGGAGGGCATAATCCTAGTGTTCCTTTCAGAGTCAGATTATATGACAAAAATGCAGTGAAGCCGACTTGTTATTGTGGTCTGTGTACGGAGTTATCTCACCTGTTTGGAAGAAGAGCATCTGTTACACAAGAGCTGACAATTCATCAATCATGCTATGTCTAATTTTCCTTCTCCTAGATCTGTTCTGAATTGCTGCTTTATCTTTCAAAATGTTGGTTCCTCTTGGGCTTCCACTCAAAGTATAATGGGAGGATAAGAAGAGGCCACGCATGTAAGTTCTGTTCCTGCACATAGTGTGTAACAGAAGTACTTGGTGTTCCATCATCTCATTCATGTACCAACAATGCCAAGGATGGCAGATTTTGGGGAGGGGAAAAAAAAAGAAAACAACCTCTGAGAAAGTCCCAGTGAGAACTGCATATAGGTTTTAAACAAGATAAATGAATGTGCCAGAGCAATGCAAGTTTGATTATATTTAAATTCAATTTTACTTGAAGGGAGATTAGTTTTGAGACTTGCTTGTTGAAGGAGAAAAACACAACCCTCTTTTTCTATTATATCAGTAAGATAAATCTGTGCAAAAAAAACAAGAGTTGGGAGCTTTTGCAAGGTTTGGTTGAGTTTTGCTTTTGCTTTTGCATTTATGACACATTTAGAAAGCATCACGTAGAGCACAGATTTGTAACAAATGGCAGAAAATAGTATTCGGTGTCTACCAGGTCATCAGTACCAGTTTTGTATAATCTTCCCCTGCATTTCTGGCATTGAATCTGAAGTGAATCTGGTTTCCGTAACCCCTGCCGATTTGTTTCTTGTATGGGATTACCAAGATCAGTATCTCAAGCTTCTTTTAATCCATATAGTGGATCCCTTATTAGTAATTGCAGTAATAACCCATACATTTTTGCAATTATTTGTTTTTGGTGGTTCTAAGCAATGGAGTATTAAATTCTTGAAATTACAGTAGTATAAGGCCATATTTTAGAAAGTCTAATATTTCTATTCCATGGAGGAATTTGATACCAAAGAAGTCATGGTAGTTTGATACATATTTGTAACCTTATCTTTATTGAAAGATTGGTACTGGTTTTGTGACAAAATCTAAATTAGGATCATATCCAGAAATTTGGAAGTGCAAAGAAATTTGTGTTGCAAGGCATATTCTGGATTCATTTGAAAATACAATTTTCCCTCAGTCAATTAATTTGATTTAAAAAATGAACACCATCTAGCCTACCTTACAACTCAAAGACTAATTGATTTTGGTCTGGGCATAGTATTATATAATTTGCAAATTCTATTCTATTGGTTAATGCAGTAAATGAATTCAATCATAGGAGAAGCATTTACAATCAGGTTTGTCTTTATAGCACCTTTTAGAATACAGGAAGGTGCTGCTGTAATATATCAGACAATTCAAAATAAGCAAGCAAGGCAGAAGGCTAGATGTGTAAGTGTGAGTTATCTCACCTATGATGGTGCAACTAATAGAATATTTTACTTGAAGAAAACAGTTTGTGCTTCCTTAATGACTGCATTATTTTCAAAGAATACACTGATTAACCCACAGAAATAACAAGGAGAGGACTCCTCATGAGATGGGAAGCATCTTACAAAGGCTTGTAAAAAATGAGTTTGGCCAATCTATGATGAGTTTGATCAAAAGGGCTTTGAACTAAATCCTGTGGGAGCTGGAGATGAAAACCTTGAAGTTAGAACTCCCAGAAAAACACTTTAGAAGGATATAGCAGTATGCTGTAATGGTCCCTATTAAACTACTCAATAAAACAAGCAGGAAAAAACATTGGCCTTTTTTGTTTATTCAGTAACTCTGAGATTGTGAGAACTAAAGCCCAGCTAGGTGATAGAACCTAGCCAACTTTGGATGATGTAAATAAACCTAAGTAGGGTTGGATCTTAGGAATGAGAGTCGTGGTGGTGCAGTGGTTTGAAGGCAGTATTGCAGGTTAACTCTGCCCACTACCAGGAGTTCAAAGTTGACTCAGCCTTCCATCCTTCTGAGGTCAGTAAAATGAGGACTCTAATTGTTGGGGGCAATATGCTGACTCTGTAAACTGCTTAGAGAGGGCTGCAAGGCACTGTGAAGCAATATATACATCTAAGTGCTATTGCTATTGCTAATGAATCCTGTAAGAACTACCAGGGCTAAAGGGAGGTTCAACTCAATTTGAGGTAATCATTACCTTTTAATGAAAAATAATCAGGATGGGCTTTAACTCTTGGTATTGGAAGAAATGTATGACTTAATAGGCATAGTGTAATGTAGTGGGATAACTTTCATGATTGGAGAGCAAAAGTAGAAGGTTACAATTTGTTCAAAATGAATAGAAGAAATAAAAGGGGAAAGGAGTTGCCCTATATGTTAAAACTATTTGTACCTGTTCAGAAATCCAGTAAATGAATTTGACAGTAGCGAAGAGCATTTTTGTTAAAATAAATGGAAGCACAAGGAAAACACCACCCAAGACTTTTGCTGAAGTTGGCAAAAGATGTTGAAAATAATAAAAATGGTCTTGAACACATTGCCTTCATCAGCTAACATCCAAATAAGCATGAAAGACACACCAGATGAATAATCAAGGAAGAATTAATGTGGAAGGATCAGAAAGAAATAAAAAAACCTCCACCAAGACTAGCAGGACAAACTACTACCCATAAACAGCCAGAAAGCTCCACTCTCCCATGTACTGATGCTATCATTTAGCCTCATCATGAAATAACTGTAGGGAAATTCTTCATTAGGCTATAAAAATCATAATCAAAGGTATCAAGTGGAGGACACTTGGCTGAATGACAGTTCTTGAGAAATAGATCTTAAAATAATAACTGATTGCAGAGTTTATATGTAGCTTTGAAAAATGGGTTCACTTCATATATATAATTTATTTTATTTTCCATATCCATATCCATATCCCTTAAAATTGCTTTCTAAGTATCATTGTCTTCTTCCTTCCAAGAACTAAGGGAAGTAATCATGTTGCTTCCTCTTGTACTGCTTTAAAGCATCTTTCATTCTTTTCCTGAAGAGCTTGTGCTATGACAGTACCTGAGATTAACATTCTTTGCTGAGCATTACGGGAGCAGGCTACAAGGACTGAAGATTATCCAGGCTAGAAAGACCTAAGGTCTGCTTCAAGCAACTTGAAATCCCCTGGGCTTCCTTGGTGAGCAGCTTTGGGGAGGTCATTGTTACAGAGGAACTGTCATAGGTCTCATCGTAACTACAGTTGACTGGAGATAAACAAAACATTCCATTTGCATCTCCAGAACTGTATAGTAAGTACTACGAATCCAAAGTAATACTTACTAAAGTGCTTCCAGACTAGGCAGCTTTAGTTTGTTTCAGAAGTTTAGACCAGGGTTGTCAAATTCCTGGGTTGCCAGCTGGATGCATCACACACTAATCATGCCCATTCCTGGTTTAGCAAAGGGGGAAAAAGTCCCGATACGTCATGTGACACTGCCATGATGACGTGAGTTTGACATACCTAGTGTAGGCAGTCCAGAAACTATCTTGGAAGCACTAGTCAGTGCTGGAGAAGTCTTCAGGAAGCTGTTCCCTGTAGTATTAAGTCTAGATGGTTTGGAGCCACTTCAGTTGCTTTACATTGCCTCCACAGGCTGAATCCAATCTACCTTGCTTTTACCCCTACTATTCTAGTGATGAGAAACTGAATTTGATTCAGCAGTGTG